AATAAAAAAAAAAGCTTTAATTCAAAATTAAGAACATATCAAATAAATAATTGGTAGAATTCAAGAACTTACAGCCGGCTGACATGGTTTGTCCAGCCAGCCGGTAACTTCTGGGCATCATGGAAACCCACTGAAAGGGAAGACAATAGGGAATCAATGGAAGGCAATTGATGGGTCTTATGCTTGTGCAAAGACAGTCCATAGGTATTTCGAATGAGAAATTAAGACCAATAAACAGTCAGTGAGTTAGTTTTGTTCCATTCCAAATGAGAAATCTATATATGGAAGCATAGAATTAACGGAGAGAGGAAGAAGAAGCACCTGTAATTTTTGGTAAATTGGAGTCTGTTTCCATTACAAGTGAGAAATCTACATATGCAAGCATGGAATTAAAAGAGAGAGGAAGAAGAAGCACCTATAATTTTTGTTAAATTGGAGTTTGTTTGAAATTAGGGATTTAGAAGGTGGATGCAAAATCTAAGGGGAAATGAAAGGCATACTGGAAAGGAAAAAAAGAAAGAAAGAAATTTATGAAAGTGGGTGTAAAATAATGTAGGAACGGTGTTAATGGAGACAGGAAGAAGAACAAAAATAAGAGAGACATGGTGCAGCCGGGAGTGGGTGGATTTTGTTTGAAATAAGGGATTTAGAAGGTGGATGCAAAATCGAAGGGGAAATGAAAGGCATACTGGAAAGCAAAGAAAGAAAGAAAGAAAGGAATTTATGAAAGTGGGTGGAAAATAACGAAGGAAACGATGCTAATGGAGACAGGAAGAAGAACAGCAATAAGAGAGAAATGGTGCAGCCGGAAACGGTGCTAATGGAGAGAGGAAGACGAAGAGCAATAAAAAAAAAAAATGGTGATAAATAGTTTACTTAGGTTTAGATACTGTGAATTTGGGTTAAAGGGTAATTTAGTGATTTAAACTAATTAATTTATTAATAACATGCATTTTGCAGGAGAAAATTTTCTAATTAAGGTGGAAAGAGAAAAAAAAAAATGTTCTAAGTGTTCTTGGATAAAAAAAAAAGTGCGGCCAACGAAATGTGTTATTATACAATTTAAATGCATAGTTATAATATATTAATTGATGGTAAAATAATTCATTAAATGGTATGATATTTTTGACTTTTTTTTACTCTAATAATAATAATCACATTTAAAAAGAAATTGAGAAAAAAGAAATTTACTCAAAAAGGAAAGTAGAGCCACATATAAAAAAAAGAGTAAATTCAAGAAAACAAATGTGACATGTGACAAGTTTTC